AACTGGTTATGTATCCTAGAAGAAAATATTCTCATTACGCTATCTGCAAAGAACAAGGCTGAGATGATCAATGGAAGAATCTCTCAGCCATCTCCTGATTCCCCTCTCTATGACCACTAGGTAAGATGCAACAATATGGTGTTTGCATGGTTAAGCAATTCTTTGTCTAAAGATATTGCTGATAGTGTCTTGCATTGTGACACTGTATGGGAGATTTGAAGAGATATAGAGGAGAGGAATGGGCAGTCTAATGCCAGTAGGTACTATTAAATTCAGAGAGAGATTGCTGGTGTCTCACAAGGGTCTTCTGGTATTGCTAGTTACTATACCAAGATTAGGAAGTTATGGGATGAGCTGAAGATCTTTTGATCCATCTACATGTGGGGCTGAACCACAATATAGTGAAGGGAAGAAACTCATCCACTTTCTAACTGGGCTCAATGACACCTACCCCATTGTCAGAAGCAACATCTTAATGATGAATCCTGTGCCAACTCTAAGAAAGGCTTATTCTATGCTCCTTAATAATGAAAATCAAAGAGAACTTCAGTCATCAGGGGCCAGCTTCCTCTCGGAGTCTGCCTCTTTTCTGTCAAGTCCTCTCCTGCTCCACCTATTGCTCTCTCTCAGCCCAACACTACTAACAAAGTCTACTCTCAGAGAGTTAATTTTGACAACAAGAGGGTGACTAGTGTTTGCAAATATTGTGAGAAGTTTGAACATTTTGTTGACAAGTTGTACAGACTCCATGGCTTCCCAGTAGACTTCAAATTCACTAAGGGAAAGAAGTCTGTAGCTTGTGCTCAAGTTGATGAACTTAGGATGGATTCTTCATCCCCCTTTGAAGGTACAACACCTGCTCCTACTCATGGGTTCTCCAAGGAGCAATACAAACACTTAATGAATCTCTTCCAACAATCACACCTAACCACACCAATCCAGGAGACTCCTACTAGCAATGCTACAATGGGTGCTTTTGCAGGTGTGTTCTGCAGCCTTGCTGTATATTCTATTACCTTGTGTTGTGCTTCAGATTTAAAAGTAAACACTTGGATTCTAGATTCATGAGCAACAAATCATATGACATCTCACAAAGATCTCTTGCACAACATTCAACCTTTACCCTTTCCTTTTCTAGTAACACTCCCAAATGGTTATAAAGTAAAAGTCACTTGCACTGGTTCTCTAAATCTTGTGCTGATTTTACTTTGTATAATGTACTTCTAGTTCCTTCTTTTCAGTTTAATCTCATCTCTGTTCCTCAATAAGTTTCTCAATTCAGTTGTACAACCTTCTTTACCAAATTTTCTTGTCTCGTATAGGCCTTTCTCTGAAGAGGCCATTGGAAATTGGTAGAGCACCAAATAGGCCGTATGTAATTCAATCATCCTTTGAGTTGTCTAAACTTGATTCATCTATAAATACCATTTCAGCTATTACTTCTTTACCCAAATTGATTATAGTGCTTGTACTACCTCATGTAATCATGTTACTTCAAGCAATACAGCTGATTTCTTTTGGCATCTTGTGGGGTCCCTATCATACTAGAATATATCAAGGTTTCAAATACTTTCTAACTATTGTGGATGACTACTCTAGGGTCACTTGGACTTATTTGCTTTCTTGTAAATGCAATGCCTTCAATCTTATTAAAATATTTGTCTTTATGGTCAAAACTCATTGTCACACTTTTGTTCAAACACTTAGATCAGACAATGCCTTTGAACTTGGTTCCAGTTCTCAGGCTTCTTCCTTCTTGGCTGAATCTGGCATCATTTATCAAACCACTGTACCTCACACTCCCCAGCAAAATGGGGTGGTTGAAAGGAAACATAAACATCTCTTAGAAACTTCTAGGGCCTTGCTTTTTCAGTCTAAACTCCCTGTCAAGTACTGGGGAGACTGTGTCTTAACAGTTACCTATCTCATTAATAGGTTCCCTTCCGTTGTTATTCAAAACATGTCTCCCTATGAGAAGTTACATGGTCATCCTCCCATTTATAACCATTTGAGAACTTTTGACTGCTTGTGTTATGCCACTTTACCTAAGATAAAGAGAGACAAGTTCCAACCTGGAGCCTCTCCATGTGTATTTATGGGCTACCCCTTGGGTAAGAAGGGTTATAAGCTTTTGAACTTAGACACTCATTCTATCCTCTATTCTAGGGATGTTAGCTTTCATGAGCACATTTTTTCCTACCACTCTTCTACTCTTTCTTTTGTCCCTCCTTCCTATACAGTGTCTACCCCCACTCCTGCCTTCTTTGAAGATACTCCACATCATGTTCCTACTCCTCCTTCTGACCATCCTCTTCCACAGTTCTTCTCTTCTCCTTCTCCTCCTCCTACTGAGGTACCTTCTTCACCTCATCCCGCCCTTTCTACAGATCCCGATCCTCTCAGACATTCCACTAGAGTCACTAACCCTCCCATCTATCTTAAAGATTACATCTGAACATCTGTCAATTCTACTGCTGCATCCAAACTTTCCCCACCAGTTTCTGCTTTCCACGAACCTCATCATTTTCAGTAGGGTGCCCCTCACCCTGCATGGCAAGATGCTATGCTCAAGGAATTTCAGGCCTTGGATGCCAATCATACTTGGGATATTGTGCTTTTACCACCTGGAAAGAAAGCTATTCCTTGCAAGTGGGTATATAAAGTCAAACAGAAAAGTGATGGGTCCATTGAAAGGTATACAGCCAGGCTGGTCATCAGAGGTGATTCTCAACATGAAGTCATAGATTATACTGAAACTTTTAGTCCTGTGGTCAAAGTCACTACCATCAAATATCTCCTGACTGTTGCTATCAAACACAACTGGGATGTTCATCAATTCAATGTCAAAAATGCATTTTTTCATGGTGACCTTCATGAAAGGTCTACATGAAGATCCCCTAGGGACTCACTGTCACCACCACCTCTTCTGATCCTCCTTTGGCCTGCAGGTTGAGAAAATCTCTTTATGGCCTAAAGCAAGCCTCAAAGCAGTGGTTTGCCAAACTTTCTGTTTCTCTTATTTCCAGAGGGTATTTCCCCAATAAGAATGCCTTATCTCTATTTACCAAGGTGTCTTCCTCCTCCATTGTCCTTTCGGAAGTTTATGTAGATGACATTCTCTTGGCTGGCAATGATTCTGATGAAATGGTTGCATTGAAATCATTTCTGGATCAGCAATTTAAAATAAAGGACCTTAGTTCTGTGCATTACTTTCTTGGTCTTGAGGTCACCAAAGTTCTTCAAGGCTATGTTGTCAATCAGTACAAGTACACCAGGGACCTCCTCCAAGAATTTCACTGTCTTGATGTGAAGCCTGTTCTTACTCCCCTTGATCCTCATGCCAAGCTCTCCCCTGATGTTGGGGATCCTCTTCTTGATCCCTCATTGTATAGGAGGCTCATTGGCAAGCTGAATTTCCTCCAACACGCCAGGCCCGATATCTCCTTCTCAATGCAACATCTCAGCCAATTCTTGGTATCTCCTAAGGTGCCTCACATGTTGACTGCTCTATATGTCCTTAGGTATCTTCTCAATGCTTCTTCCCAAGGTGCTCAACAACACAACTGATTTTTTACTATAAGCGTACTCGGATCAGATTGGGTTGCTTGCCCCATCTCCAGGAAATCTGTGACTGGGTATTATATTTTTCTTTGGGGTTCTCCTATTTCTTGGAAATTCAAGAAGCAGCAGACTGTTTCATTGTCTTCTTCAGAGTCTGAATATCGAGCCCTCAGGAAGGTTCTTCCTGAGGTTACCTGGTTGGTTCGTTTGCTTAGTGAGATGGGTCTGGTGATTTCTTCCCTCGTCCTTGTATTTTGTGACAGTGGGGTTGCACTTCATATTGCTAAAAATCTTGTGTTTCACGAGCATACCAAGCATATAGAAGTCGATTGTCATTATGTGCGTGATGTTCTTTCCACTAGCTTAATATCTCTTCAACATGTCTCCACTACTCACCAACTTGCTGATGTTTTAACTAAAGCTTTGACAGGTGTTCCTCATCACAGGTTGTTGTCTAAGCCGAGTGTGTTCCCACCCTCCAACTTGAGGGAGGGTGATGGAGTTCAGTTACTAAGCCCAGATCCAGGATGACTCTCATATTGGGACTATTAGTGTTGGGCCTTATTTTCATTTAGGGACCCGATCCTTGTCCGGTTTAGTTAGATATTTGGTACATATAACCAGAACCTTCTCTTTTATTTTTTAGATAATGAAAATCAGTCTTTTATTTAGCTCATGGTTTCAACATCAGTGCTCTCTCCTCGTCTTAGAGACGAGGGTTTCTTCTCCTTCAATCTCCATTTTCATTGCTGCCTTTTAACTTAACAACATATCTGTTTATTTTTTAAATTTAAGTATATAGTGTACTTAATTGCTCACATTTAAAAGTATGTGTCCTAAATCAAAGACATGAAAGTGACTAGTGCTAATAAGGCTCCAAAAAAACTTCTTCTGAAGTGGGAACAATCTCACACTTCCCAAATTCAAAATAACAAACTATCTTACACAAAATGCTTTTACAGATGGTAAATAGAAATTTCTTATGTTATATTAGTATAGAATGACATATGAAAAAGAAAATGAAAACTAAAAAGTAGACTCCAAACCAAACCCCAGGTTAGTATTGTAAGTTTAGGAAATCAGGAAGTAGCCATTGTAATTTAGTGAACTACTCAAGAGAGAGATTATTGCTATTTAATTTTAGGAAATAAAAAAAGAAGCTAATGTAATTTCCACTGGCCAGCTAGAAGAAGACGTTTTCCCTATACGGCGTCTACATTCTCACTTAACTAATGACTTTTTATTCCTAGGGATTGCAAGGAAGATGACTAATTAATTTTTTATATATCAAAACAAAAAAGGAAGATTAATGTTTAATTTTTTCTTGTTAATCACACATCAAAATGATTAAGTCATATCCATGACGTACGGAGGGGGTGGATGAGTGATATTTTTGTCTTCAATACGTGTTCCTTCTGTGCTTATGGCCAACTATAAATACTCCAAAAAATTTCCCTACTGATTATATTGCAAACCAAGTTCTCAATCAAGATTAGTAAAATGAAAGTATGCATGTCTAAAATTTTAAATATAATTTTAATCTGCGTTTTAATTCTACGACGACATGTTCTTTGTATTACTTCTTATTTTGTGGTATTGGTTGAGTTGTGATTATCTGACATAATTTCATAAATTGGACAGCAAAAGATAGTTATCAAATTATGCATGGATGGGAATGATCAGAGATCTCGGACCAAGGCTTTCAAGATTGCTGTTTCTCAACCAGGTACTTGTCTTCTTCAGTAATTTACCGATTCCAATCAAAATCTTGTGGAACACATTACAAAGAATGGTACTGTTATATATGAGACATGAGTGGTAAAAATAAGCCCATAAAAATATGACTCGTTCAACTATGGCAAATTTTATGTTGGTTGAACTAGACAAATGTTCATAGCGGATTAATTTGGGCATTGGTCAAGTCGATTCATCTAAAAGTTAAGTTGAATTGGGCTAAATATATAGCTCAAATTGACTCATAAGAGAACTTGGCAAAAATTTAATTAAGAAATGTTTGATATATTAAATATAGTCATAATAATATAAGTTTTCTTAGATTTGTTTAGTGACTAAATAAATTAAACTTCAGAAAAAAAAAACAAAACAAAAAAATTAAAAAACGACGAATTATTTGGCCCAGCTCAAATAATACTTGGGAAGGATAATGACCCGTTCATTTATTGACTCAATCCATTTAACTTGCCAAAATTCAGTTCAACCTGCCTATTTGACACCGTTATTATTTCATTGGTGTCCTTTTACTTAGGAGTGGAATCAGCAGCTATGCAGGGAAGCAAAAATTACGAATTACAAGTGTTGGGAGAGCAGATTGACGCAGTAATTCTTACAAACTCGCTTAGGAAGAAGTTGGGTCAGGCGCAGCTGGTGAGCGTTGGCCCCGTTGATGATGCGGACAACAAAAATACAAATTCTGATACAAGGTCTGAAGCTTCAGCTACCGTGCCTCAGTCGCCAGCCTACAGTTACCCTGTTTATGCTGTACCTCAATACCCAGTTTACGAAGTTAGAGACTCGAATCTAGAATGCTGCTCCATTATGTGAATGCCAGCTTGAATTATCTCATATGGAACAGTCTATAATACCGGAGCTTTTCGTTTGCACAAATCTACTTAAAGAGCTCAGCAGAGCAGTACTTCTAAGGATTTTCCTTGTTTTTGGATTTGTAAAGTCATGTGTCTACCCTCGAAGTCCGATAGCAATTGAATTTATACGCTGTTTTAAGAATACGTGATATAATTTGATACAAATTGAGAAAACAGATTAATATTGAAATCAATGACATAACTGTAATTGCAAACCGCACGAGTTGAACAGTCTTAGCCTTGAAGGTTGGTCAACCTCGAGTCTAGAAGTTCTTCAACCGATGCCGGAACAGAATGATAAGGTAACAAGAATTAGAAATAACAGTGTATTGCTTTGAGATGCTTGTTACAATGTGTATTACAAATAATCAGGCCCCCCTTTTCATAGTAGGAGAGTCTTACTCTAGATAAAATTCCATAAAAGGTAAAAAAAACTCATGATTTGATAACTAATCGGCCTCTCCTTGATACGTGCCGAGATTCACGCCATGATATCAAACTAATCGGCCTCTCCTTGGTCCGATAATGTTTCCTCGAACCCATTCAGAGTCGGGGTCAGTTCCGGAGTTACGGGCTCGATGATCTTGAAGACGTATGCTCTGACTACGTGCCTTGGTTCGATATAATCCCAGGTCGATCTTCAACCCATCACGTTTCAGTCCCGACTTGTCATGCAATAGACGATCCGGTTTCGACCGTATACAGATAGTCCCCCCCCCCCCCAATTTTCGGAGAGTAAACGACGAGAAACAAAATGAGCCCTCGATCTTCGTCTCGATTCTTCGAGCCAGAAATGACAAAACTGACGAAACGTCTCGTCAGTCACGTCTTTAATGACATTAAATGTTCGTCAGTTACTGGTAGGCCATTACGGGTTTTGAACCGTCGTTTGCAACATATAAATACCCCCGCATTATCTTATTCAAACTTTACTTTCAAAACCTCTACCCTCGTACATCAGAAATTTCTATATTTTCCAACATCAATTCTCCGATTACTTCTGAGATCACTTCATAAGAACTTCTGCTCTTTACCTGAAATTATCAAACACATCCTTTTAACTTCCTCTTTTATCTTAACTTCCATAAAAATGGTGAAGACCCGAAAGTCTGTTCCCAGAAAGAAACTCCCTCTGCCTCGCGGCCGGCTGAAGAGGAAAATGTTTCGTCTACTGCTGCTAAGGAAATACACCAGAGCCCTCCTTAAATATGTTCGTTCCTGTGGGGGGCCCACCGGTGCTGACTTCAATGTCGAGAAAACCTCTTCCGTACCAGGTCGGTGCGAGCCGATCTCAGATATATATGCTCGATCACCAATAGTCTCCTCTCTAAGTTCAAGGAAGATTGCAATTGGGCCGGTAAGCACGTGTGGGTGCCTACGCCCGAGGAATTGATTACTACCCACGTGGAGGATTTTTTTAAGTGTTTACACTTATCACTTCATGTTGGGCCCTTTGGACCCGGTCATCATCGCCTTTCTGTAAGAGGTACGAGGTGACCCTTGTTCAAATTCATCCCTCCTTCTGGAGGTTTGTAATTCTCCTCCGCTTTTTGGTAAGCAAAATCGACAAATGCCCCTTCACCATTGATCATCTCATGCCTCTGTACAGTCCCCGACTCTATCGAGGGGGATTGATAAAACTTGCCCATCGGGCCACTAAGGCCCCATTATCGAGTATAGACGAGGATCGAGATCGAGGTTGGTTTGGCCGATTCGTTCGAGCGAATACATCGGATCTAATCCCGGCCGAGGATATGCCATTTCCCGATAAATGGAACATAAAACGTAAGTATAACCTTACCTTTAAGATTTTGTTTATTTCTTTTCCTTTTCCTCCCTTCTTATTGATGTTTCGTGGTGAAGTTGTTTCTCGGATGCCGGATGCAGTTCCCTGAATTAAGGAGTGGGTTGAGGGAATTGTGTCACAGAAGCCCTATTCCGAGCGCGCGTGGCGCGAAATTTCAAAGGGCCGGTAGGAGGCCCGTTCTCACGGTAAGATTCTTTCCTAGAATAGACATCACTTGGGTTTCTTTTGAGTTTACTCATCTTTTTTTCTTTGTAGGCCTTGGGAAGGATGTTGCAATCAGGCTTCCGTTCGGAGATGAATACGTCCTCTCCCAATCACCTTCTCCGAAGAAGGATAAAGAGAAGAAAAGAATAGGGGCTCCAACTTCCCCAATCCCGGAGAAGCAGAAACCGAAAATGAGGCAGGTGCGCTGATCACGCCCAACTCTAGTCCTAAAAAGGATAAGCGGTCGCTGCAAATATAATCCGGTCTAAAAGTCCGGAGTCGAATCCTACAGAGAAGTAAGGCTTAGCTGTATCGCTTTAATATCACCAAGAAGAAAAGATTAAACAATTTTCTAAATTATAAAGATTGCGATTTATATTTCTAACTAATTAACTAGCAAACACTACAAAGCAGTAAAATTATCAACTAACGAGACAAAGGGTTGGAGACTAAATTAAGGAGGTCTAGAGTTATGATTTCCCCAATTGTCGGAATCCTTCTAGCTATGTTCCCTACAATTTTGCCAATGTATTCTCTATTGATCGTAAGCACTTTAGGTGCCGTAATTCTCTCTCGAGCAACTACAACAATTTACTAGAAATATTCTCTCGAACTACGCTAGTTGGTTTATCTAACCGCTCATTATGACCACGTCAAAACTTTGTTATTTCTAAACCTACCTTTAAACCCAATATATTGATTTCTCACATACGTCAGGAGTGACGTTGTTCAACAACTACCTAAATATGTACTCTCTCTCAAGCAGTACACACTAAATAGGCACAGTCAATTGATGGCCATTCAATCAACAACAACAAACACATAGTTGAACAAGTAGAGAAATCCAAAGGCTCAATTATATAAAAACATAACAAGAATTTATCCTACAAAGGTTCTATCAAAATCCTAGATAATAAATTAGCTATTCATAATAGTATGTAAAACTACAATACTAAAAATCATAACCAACAATGAAAAATAGGAAAAGGAAGAAAAAATTCGTTGAAGAATTTCCGGCCTTGCTCCTATTGTGTCTCTGCCTCCTTAGGTCGAATTTGTGTCAAAAATTGGTCCAACTTTTCAAAAATACTATTTTTCCATGTATATATACCAAGTAGGGTCGGGCCCAAAATATTATACCTTCTCCTTCGCGAAAAAGGACATATTTCACGTCTGGACTGCCGCGGCCGCGGACAACCGCGGTATATAGCAGGTATACTGCCTCAGCCCGCCTCAGCTCCGCGGTCGCGGTTTCGACCGCGTTTTTCACCTTGTTCCATGTGGAATTTGGAAAAACGTAACATGAAAGTTGTAGCGCTTTGAACTATCTTTCCAACCAAATATTGTGGAGCCCAAATGGAGTACTGAGCAAAAAGTTATGTGCATTTTACTAGACAGTGCGCAATATACCTACTCGATTCTTTGTTTTGTTGCTCTATCATCCGTTGATCCCCGAATACGATCCCGGCTTAATTCCTTGGTCTTTTACTCAGACTTCAAAGCTCTAAATCACTTGAATTCATTCCATAACATCTAGCTCGGAATCACTCCTACAAGGCATAAAACACACCGTTAGTGCAAAACACTAGCGATTAAAGCGCAAACTCAACTAAAGTGCAGTAAATTAGAGTGTAATAATCGACTAAAATACGTAATTATAACCTATCATCAACACCCCACACTTAAACCATTGCTCGTGCTCGAGCAATCAAACTACACTTTTTTTTATAGATACGACCTTTTTAAACAATTCTCCTAACTCATCACACCAAGAGTATTTAAAATAGAATAAACACAAAAGCGTAACATCTTCACCTCAAGATTTGACTCACAAGTACCACGCATTATTCACAACTCACCTACTTACTCTAACATAGAGGTCACTGACATTACCTTTCCTTTATGAATCAAGTGCCCTCACACAACAAAAGAGAGTAGTTCCACACAATAAAATTTAAGAACACTTACGAACTCAAAATAGAATTTAAGGTCATAATTACTCGAGTCCTAAAAAGGATAAGCGGTCGCTGCAAATATAATCCGGTCTAAAAGTCTGGAGTCGAATCCCACAGAGAACTAAGGCTTAGCTATATCTGTTTAATATCACTAAGAAGACAAGTTTGAACAATTTCCTAAATTATAAAGATTGAGATTTATATTTCTAACTAATTAACTAGCAAATACTACAAAGCGATAAAACTATCAACTAACGAGACAAAGGGTTGGAGACTAAATTAAGGAGGTCTAGAGTTATGATTTCCCCAATTGTTGGAATCCTTCTAGCTATGTTCTCTACAATTTCACCGATGTATTCTCTAACGATTGTGAGTACTTTGGTTGTCGTAATTCTCTCTCGAGCGACTACCACAATTTACTAGATGTATTCTCTCGAACTATACTAGCTGACATTAATTCACTGCTCACTACGATCGCACCAAGGTTTCATTATCTCTAATCCGGCCTTTAAACCCTCCGTATTGATCTCTCACATACGTTAGGAGTGATGTTGTTCAACAACTACCTAAATATGTATCCTTTCTCAAACAACACATAATAAATAGGCACAGTCAATCGATGGCCATTCAATCAACAATAATAAATACGTAGTTGAACAAGTAGGGAAATGCAACAGCTCAATTATATAAAAACATAACAAGAATTGATCCTACAAAAGGTTCCATCAAAACCCTAGATAACCAATTAGCTATTCATAATAGTATGTAAAACTACAATACTAAAAATCATAACCAACAATGAAAAATAGGAAGAGGAAGGAAAAACTCGTTGAAGAATTCTCCGCCTTGCTCCCAGTGTGTTCTTGACTCCTTAGGTCGAATCCCCGGTCTCCTTAGCTTCCATAGGTCTAAATTATGTCAAAAGTGTGTCCAACCTCTAAATATACCGTTTTTCCATGTATATATACCAAGTAGAGTCGGGCCCAAACAATTATACCTTCTCCTACGCGAAAAAAAAAATATTTCACGTCTGGACTGCCGCGGCCGCGGTCAACCGCGGTATATGGCAGGTATACTGCCTCAGCCCGACTTAGCTCCGCGGTCGCGGTTTCGACTGTATTTTTCACCCTGTTTTGTTCGGAATTTGGAAAAACGTAAAACATGAAAGTTGTATACCGTTGAGTTAGATTTCCAACCATGTATTGTGGAGCCCAAATGGAGTTCTGAGCAAAAAGTTATGTGCATTTTACTAGACAGTACACAATATGCCTACTCGATTCTTCGTTTTATTGCTCTATCATCTGTTGATCCCCGAATACAATCCCGGCTTAATTCCTTGGGCTTTACTCAGACATCAAAGCTCCAAATCACT